TATGGTACCAGGAAGTTCCCAGGGCTTCATGCATTCTAGGTAGGCAAGTACTCTGCCAATGAACTGTCACCCTAATAACCTCCACTCTTTATATATTACCTGGCCTCAGGTATGTTTATTACACCAACAGAAAATGGGCTAAAATCTTCCAGCGACTTCCTCCCCTTCTCCTCCCTGCTGGCATCAGTCACTTCTAGTTTATCAGCTTTGATACTAAAAGCTCACAATTCTGAGCAGGACAAGGTGGCATACATTTATAGTCAAAGCTCCTCAGAAGGCAGGAGGATTGCTATGGGTTTGAAGCCAGTCTGGGCTACATATGGAGATCAAGGCTAGCCTGAGGCACATGGCAAAATCCTGTTTCATAAAAGCTAACACCAGAGGCTAGAGAGATGGCACAGGCATTAAGAGCTTGTGCTACTCTTGTAGAGGACCCAACTTTGGTTTCCAGTACCCACATCAGAAGCCTTACAGCCTCCTACAATGCCAACTCCAGACGGGTCCGATGCCACCAGCCTCCATGGGCACCTGCACACAGATACACATACAGACACACACAGACACACATGCACAATTAAATAAAATAAATCCATTTTTTAAAACCCTAAAATCAAAACAAAGCCAACTCCGAAATGCTGAGCATGTTGCACACACCTGTCACCCCAGAAATTAGAAGGCAGAGGCGGGAAGGTCAGGAGTTCAGGCAACCGGCAGCTTCACTGTAAGCTTAAAGCCAGCCTGGGCTACAAGAGACCGCATCTCACAGAAAACAATTAGGCTAAATAGTAAATACACACAACACCCATAAATTTGCCAAATGTGAGCAAAACAATAAGTAGTTTATGGGAGTCAGATCCCAAGAGGGTCCCTGATGATCCCTGCCTCAGGTACTCATACACTGTGAGGTGTCCCCAACCCTGTCCCAGATTGGTCCCCACGATAAGAAGGATGAAACTGAAGGGGTGACTCTGTCACTTCCAAGATCAGCAAGGGACAACTACAGCTTCCGCTTGGCCCCCTCTCTCACTGCCTCCCTCCCTGCAGGCCCCTCTCTCATTGGCCCCCTCCCTCCCTGCAGGCCCCTCTCTCATTGCCCTCTCCCTCCTTCCCTGCAGGATCCTTATCTCATTGGCCCCTTCCCTCCCTGCAGGCCCCTCTCGCACTGCCCCTTCCCTCCCTAACTGCAGGCCCCTTCTTTTACTGCCCCCTCCCTTCCTGCGACGTCATCAACAACCTTAGGAGGGACTTTAGAAGCCTCCTGCCAAAGGTCTTGTACAGGATTCTGAAGCAGATCCCGCAGTTCCAGTGAAGCCTTCAGCTGCCTGCAGCCCTAGCTGCCAATTTGCCTACCTTGGGAGTGATCTTGAACTAGGACCAACCAGTCCAGCTACTGTTACATTCCGGACTAAGGACCCTCAGGTAACAAGAAAGAACTTAAACATTTGCCATCTTAAGCCAATAAGTGATGGGGCCACTTGTTATACACCAGAAGATAACTAATAGTCCTTCCTTCTTGGGATGATAAGACAGCTGCCCGACTGGCACCCACCCAGGCTAGATGAGGCGCATGCCCATGGCCCCCCTGCATGTGAACAAGCGTCTTTATATGCACTGAAGCTTACCTACCATCACTGTAGTCGATGGGCGCATACCCACCCAGGAACAGCGAAGCAGCAAAACTACTGACCAAGGAAATCCTCTGGAAGAGAAGGGAGCAGGGTGAGAAAGGACTCCCTTCCACACACCCGCAGCTGCAGTCCACTTTCTGTGCATGCGTGCACATACATGGACACACACACAGACATACATACACACACACACACATACACACACACACACACACACACACACACATACACACACAGACATACATACACACACACACATACACACACAGACATACATACACACACACACACACACATACACACACACACACACACACACACACACACACACACACACAGAGAGGAACGGAAGCTGAAACTTCAGCAGGGAATGATAGAGACAGGGTATCCATTCAGAAGCAGCCAGTACTGCATAGTACTGATTTAGGCTACAAAACTATCATGACTGATGACAACAGAAGCCAGAGCCCTGTGAACATGTCACACTTAGGGAGGCTAGCTGTCCACCTGGAATCCATTTGTACACTCTCAATTCCTCACTCCACTTCCATGTCTTTGGCATTTGGTCACAGAGAAGTGGATGTGTGGCCACAGAACACAGAATGAGCCAAGACTCTGTCAGGACTATCACAAGTTTCAAGACAAACTGACCCCACCCCTGCCAAGAAGCTACAACACCCAGTCACATCCCCAAGAGAATCACTGATGAACTGTAAGCATCAGCCTCAGAATCTTTAGAGAGGGGAGCCACCACCTCTAGTCCCCATTGGGACAAATGCCTTCAAGAGGGTTTTCATTCCTCAGTGGCTAACGCTGCAGAGTAATCTGGAAGCTGGAATCATTAAATAATAAACTGCTGCCAGGTATAGTCCTGTGTTCTTAGCACTAGAGGGAGAGATAGGGGTTTGAAGCCAACCTGGTCTATACAGTGAATTCAAAGCAAAAACCCTGTCCCAGAAGCCACACTCAAAAAAAGGTAAATAAGTAAAACAAATGAATGTTTATAACTCTTATGAGTTCGTCAGACATGTACAAAAGCACAGTATGTAGCTGATTGTGGAAGCCAGGCTTCGGGATGGTCCCTGTTGACCCCTGACTGACCCACCTGACCACTCCAGGTACCAGCAGCACTGCCGGTGAGCTGGAGCTCCGGACTGAGCAGGAAGGAAAAGGTGATCTGAGCATCAACATCATCTCTCTCTGCTTCCTTTAAGGTTTCTTATCTTCATTTTATGTATCTGAGCCTTTGTCTGCATGCGTCTTTGCTGTGCACCACACAGCATACATGTGCCTGGTGCTCACAGACACCAGAAGAGGATGTCAAAGCCCCTGGAGCTGGAGTGACAGACGGCGGTGAGCTGCCATGTGGGTGCTGAGAACTAAACCCAGGTCCTCTGCAAAAGCAGCCAGTGTTCTCAACTCCTGAGCTACCTCTCCATCTTTCTCTCTGCTTTCTGACTAGGGACACGATGTGATCAGTGGCCTCAAGCTCCTGAGGCTTCAGCTGTCCTGCCATGATGGATTTGCGTCCTCGACAAGTGGGCCGGAGTCAACACTTTCTCCTCTTTTAAAATAGCGGCTTTTATCAGCTATTTGTCATAAGAAGAGAGTGAACTCCAACACGGAGCCAAGCATGGAGGGGCACACCTGTAACCCCAGCACCCAGGAATATGAGGCAGGAGGATCACGCATTCCAGGCCAGCCTGCACTACATAGTTAAATCCTGCTGCCGAAAAGGCAAATAAAGAAAAAAAAAAAGAAAAATTAAGGAAGGATGGCCAGCAAGATGGCCCAGTAGGTTAGGGGAGTTGCTACCAAGCCTGAAAACTTGAGTTCCATCTCTGGGCCCCATGTGGTACAAGGAGAGAACCAGCTCCCATAAACTGTCCTCTGCCCTCCACACACATACCCAACACAAACTAAATAAATGGGATAATTTTTCTATTTTTCTTTTTAATAAAATAATAAATTTAAGAAAGGAAAGAAAGGAAGAACGTCCTCAGCAATTTTATCACTGTGCAAACACCATCCAGTATGTTTGTACAAATCTGGACAGGAGAGTCTGGAGCACACCGAGGCCGTGTGGTGCAGCCTATGGCTCTTGGGCTTCTGGACCAACTGCTGCAGACAACCGTGGCACAGTTAGAAAAGGTACTGGCTTCCTCCGCCCTGTAGGTCGTGGGGATTGAGCTCCGGCGGTCGGGCTTGGAGGCAAGTCCCTGAACCCTCCAGCCATCTCAACAGCCCCTCTCTGAATCACTTAACACCTGCTCACCAAAGGCCTTAGTCAATGCATAAGAGGTATGTCTGGCTGATTCGAATGTGAACAACAGGATTTAAGTGTGACTTTGATGGAACACGAAGGCTCACCGACCTCGGAGTGTGAGTAGGCCTCTGGGTTTTGCTGGAAGAGCTTTGCTATCTGGTTGCCTGTAAAGCGCTGGGGAGAAAAGAGCACAGATTCTTAGAAACTCTGACCCTACACAGAATAATCTCAAAGTGCGGTTAGCATAGCACGATCTGGATGTGGCGTAGAGTACCAATAACTTTGGAAAACCCCATATCCAGAAATGCTTGTTACCAGCCAAACACGGAAGACGGTGTATTTTGACCTTTGAGTTCTGAAAACGATCTTAGTGAGGAGCTCTTGGGCAGTCAGCAATCTTTCTGCATCCACAGACGAGGCAGTAGCCCCGACTTCCTGGGAGAGAGTCTCATGCGTCAGTCAGTTCTGTGACTAGCCCTTACTGTAACTGTCCTTAAAATAGATTTATTTATGTAATTAATGTGTATGGGCCAATGCCTGAGTGTGTGTCTGTGCATTGTGTGTGTTCAGGAACCTACAGAGTTCTGAAAAGCATTAGATCGCCCTGGAGCTAGAGCTACAGGCAGTTAGGAACTGTCATGTCAGGGGGGCTGGGAACTGAACCCAGGTCCTCTGCAAGAGCAGCCAGTGCTGTTAATCACAGAGCCCACTTCCCAGCTTCATGAGACCAGAGGCGGGGGCCCAGATATTCTCCTTGTGGAAACCATACTGTTAGTGTTCTAACTAGGTTTAAAAATGTTTTGCCTTTATTTTTACTTTGCTTATGAGGGAGTTAAATGTGTGGCTTCCTCACATAATTAAAATGGACATGTCTGTGTATGTGAATGTCCATAGAGATGCCCGAGAAGGCCAGAAGTGAGTGTCCAACACCCTGGAGCTGGGGTTACATACAGGTGCTAGTCACCTGATGCCCTGGGAACCGAACCTCTGCAAATGCACAGCAACCTCTAGACCTCCATCCCCTACTTAAGCCATAGTCATGTGACCCAAGATACCCAATCACAGCAAACTCTGGGGCCGTGGCTGAAGGCTTTGGGGCCCCTTGAGTTAAGGCTGCTGGGCGCTAACTTCTTTTTTTCCTTTCTTTTTTTTTATATCTATTTATTTATTATGTATACAATATTCTGTCTGTGTGTATGTCTGCAGGCCAGAAGAGGGCACCAGACCTCATTACAGATGGTTGCGAGCCACCATGTGGTTGCCAGGAATTGAACTCAGGACTTTTGGAAGAGCAGGCAATGCTCTTAACCTCTGAGCCATCTCTCCAGCCCCTGGGCTCTAACTTCTTTCAACCTCAAAAGCACCTCAGATAGACTCTGCTCCACTTGCTATCACAAGGTCCTAGACCACGAGTCTGAGGCAGCCACTCCTCCCCCTACACAGTAGTTCTAGTAGGGGTGCAGTCATGTCCGTAATCAAGCCCTGGTCTGGGACTACTTGTAAGGGAATTGCCATTGCCTACTAAATGAGACAGGGCAGCCTGGATTAGAACCCAGGGCCAAGCTGGATGTTGGTGGCACACGCCTTTAATCCTAGCACTTGGGAAGCAGAGGCAGGCGGATCTCTGCGAGTTCAAGACCAGCCTTGTCTACAGAGAGAGTGCCAAGACAGGTTTCAAAGCTACACAGAGAAACCCTGTCTCGAAAAACCAAAAAGAACCCAGGGCCAGCATGAAGCCCAGCTTCAGGGACCAGCACTAGCATCAGTTCAGACGATCCCTGTCCATCTGGGAGGCTGGGTGCCCACTACACCCTCCCAGAGCCTTACTCCCCATCCTGGCATGGGTGTTACTTACCTCATAGGCCCGAGACCCTGTGAGGCAGCTGAGAGCCCGGGCTCCGCCCACAGCAGCCTCCAGCTGGCGGCACTGGGCTGTGGTACTGGAGTCCATCCATATTGGGCAGTCACTGATGGAGAAGTAGGCCTGGAAAGAACAGGGGAGGTTCGGGTTTCCCTTCTACCACTGACTACAGGCAACCCTGGGGCTAACAGTCACACTGCCCATCCTGTCAGGAAGACCCTGGGGACAAGCCCTCTGCAGGACCAGCGAGGTTTCTCAAGGAAGCCTGAGGCTGGATAATCTCTGTTAAAGATGCCTGGGCAAACCAGGCTGCAGGAGACGGGCAGAGGGCAACAGCGGCAGCAGAGCGCAGGTCGCAGACCATATTCCACCTCCCACTCATGACGGTGCAGAGGCGTCCCAAATTGTTCACTGGACATCTGCAGGTCTATGAGATTCACAAGCGTCTTCACCTGCAGCTGCTGGTGTAACGGGAGTGCTGGTGACAGGCTCGACAGTGCCAGGCTGGCTCCAGTCTTCCAGTAAACGCTTCCATGTTGCTGTTGAGGGGAACACAAGCACATGTTCACGTATCACGCCTGGAACCACAGCGTCCTGCAGACGCAGAGCCAGGCCTCAAGCCAAAAACAAACACAAAAATAAAAGTCTCCAGGACTATCTATCTCTTTGTCACGTAGCTCAGTGCCTTATGACGCGAGGTTTCCACTTTCGTAAAATGAGAAGGAACTCCTTCACATCACCTCAAAGCTTGTGGGAAGGGTTCTAGAATCATCAGTCCATATTTTGGTATCTTTTGTCAAACTGTACTAATTTTTCAAATATCGTCTACAGTGGTGCCTGAAGTTGTCTCGGGCATTTATTCACCTAACAAACATATTGGGCAGCAAGACCACGCCAGACATGAGTTCATAGGTTATTACAGACCCTGATGTCCAGGACAATGAAATGAGTGAGGGAAAGACGCAAAAATGCAATTACAAAACCCTGTAGCTCCAACCATCTGTAACTACAGTTTCAGGGCTCAGGAGACGGCTTAGTCATCACAGTGCTTGTCTTGCATGCATGAGGACCTACGTTTGGTCCCACATTTAAAAAAATAACTTGGAGCCGGGTGGTGGTGGAACACACCTTTAATCCCAGTACCCGGGAGGCAGAGATCTCTGTGAGTTTGACTGAGGTCAGCCTGGTCTAAAGAGCAAGTTCCAGGACAGATAGACTGGTTATACAGAGAAACCCTGTCTTGAAAAACATAAATAAATAAATAAATAGATAGATAGATAAAATAACCTGGGGGGAATGGAGAGATGGCTCAGTGGTTAAGAGCACTGGCTGCTCTTTAGGGGGCCCAGGTTGAACTCCTGGCACCTGCTCGGTTGCTCCAGCCATCTGTAACTACAGCTCCAGAAAATCTGATATTCCCTTCTGGCCTCTGCAAGCACCAGGTGTTCGTGTGGTGCACAGACATACATGTAGTCAAAACACTCATATATAGAAAAAATAATAAATAAATAAATAACTTCAAAAAATTTAGAGGCTAGGAAGATGGCTCAGTGGCTAAGAGCACTGGCTACTCTTCCAGAGGCCTGGATTCAGTTCCCAGTATCCACAGGGAGGTTCATGACCATTTGACATACATGTAGGCAAAATACCCATACACATAAAATAATAAAATAATTTTTAAGAAAATAACAATAAGGCTGGAGAGATTGCTCAGCAGTAAGAGCACTGACTGCTCTTCCAGAAGACCCCAGTTCAATTCCCAGCACCCACATGGCAGCTAACAACTGTTTATAACTCCAAGATCTGACACCCTCACACAGACATACATGTAGGGAAAACACCAATGACCATAAAATAAAAATAAATAAATTTTAAAAAAGAAAATAACAATAATCTGAGCATGATGTGTGTTTATAATCCAGTCCTGGGGAGGTGGGAATAAGGCAGATTCCTGGGGCTCACTGGCCAGCCAGTCAGCCTACCTACTTGTTGAGCTCTAGACCAATGAGAGACCCTGTCTCAAAAATGATGACCCCCAAGGCTGTTCTCTGACCACCCACATGTACAGACATGTATATATGCACCTCTCACACACAAACCTGCGGAGCCGCAGTAATGAGAACACAGAGAACCCAGCCAGTGGGTGGACAGACTGGGAGCATGGACAGGAATGGCAGGATGGAACTCCAGGCTAAGAGAAAAAGCTGGAGAGAGAGCTGGGTATCTGATGCCAAGCCTGATAACCTGAGTTTGACCCCTAGTGTCCACTTGGTAGAAGAAAAGAACCAACTCCCAGAAGCTGTCCTGAGACCTCCACATGTTTGCCCTGGCATAATGTCACGAATATACACATACATTAAATAACTTTTTCATTTTAAAAAAGAGCAGCTAAAATTTAAGAAAGTGTGTTATGTCCCAGGGACTGTTCTGCATATGTAACAGTCACAGAGGATATATATATCCTTATGTCAGATAAGGATGTGGAGGCCCCGGAAGCCTGGGTGATGTGACTTGGGTCAGGGTTCTACATGGCACAGCTGGACATGCCCAGAGCTCCTCTTCTGGTTGGCAGCGCCACCACCAGCTCAGAATCTCCACTGGGACTAGAGAATTTGAAGACTGAGCACAGGGTTTGGTACTCACTCACTAGCTGATGCTCTCAACAACAGGATACTACAGCTCTCTACTGAAAATACTCTCAGGGCTGGAGAGGTGGCTCAGCGGTTAACAGAGCTTGTTGCTTTGGCGGAGGACTCAAGTTTGGTTCTCAACGCCATAGCAGTGGGGCTCACAAGACCCTGTAATCCCAGCTCCAGAGGAACCAACATCCTCTTCTGGCCTCTTAAGGCATCCGTACTTGCGTGAACAAACCCACACACACACACATACCTAAAAATAAACACATTGCTAGTATCACTTCTTATTGTTTTTCCTTCCAAGAACTAGAAAGCCATTTTAATGCCACTAAACAGCCAAAATAAATCCACATCTAATGTTACTTCCATCCCTTTATGGGACCTGTACATAGCTCCCCTATCAACTGCCCTATTTCACTGTTTATTTATTCAGTACTGAAGAGTGAACGTCAGGCCTCATGCATGCTAGGAAAGTATTCCGCCACTGACTTATATCCCTAGCCCATTGTTTAATTGATTTTGAGACAGCATCTCATTAACTTGCCCAGGTTAACCTCAAACTTGCTCTGTAATGCAGGTAGGCCTTGAACTTGCAATCCTTCTGCCTCAGCCTTGCAATTAGCTGGGATTACAGGCCTACACCACCACACCCACCTAAATGTCCTATTTATATCAAGTAGGAGCATTTCATATCCTTTAGCAAGGAGACCAGGCATATAGACCTAAGGTGAGAGAGCTGGAGGTACTGTCACTACCAAAACATGCGTACTCACATTTGACGCTAGCCTGGTCTACAGAGCCAAGTTCCAGGACAGCCTGGTCTACAGAGCGAGTTCCAGGACAGTCAGGGCTACACAGAGAAACCCTGTCTTGAAAATCTAAAAAGAAAACGAAAAAGAAAACGAAAAAGAAAAAGAAAAAGAAAAAGAAAAAGAAAGAAAGGAAGGGAGGGAGGCAAGAAAAGAAGGGAGGGAGGGAAGAAGGAAGGAAAGGAGGGAGGGAGGGAGAAAGGAAGGGAAGAGAAAGAAAGAAATGCGCGCCCCACAGGAAGCCATGAGCTCAGCCCCCACCCGCAGCTGAGATAGCCAAGTTCCCAGAGCAGACGTGGCTGCTGTGACAAACCTGGCCTGCTCCAGATAAGGCTACAACTTGAGAGAAGTCAAAGCCCGAAGCCTTCATCTTCTCCAGGATCAGGTCCAGAGCCTGAGAAGAAAAACAGAATTCACCATGGCTCAACAGAACCACTGAGTCCTCTAAACCACTGCCATTAGCACAGAAATGCGAAGGGCTCTGCCAAGGTCAGTGTAGTCTGTGTCAGGAGAGTTCATTAAACAAGCCGGCATCAGTCAAATAAAAGGGTCAATTTGGCTAAACACAGTGTTTGTTTGTCTGTCTGTTTTAAACACTTATTTTTTCCAGACATGGAAGCAAACATCTTTAATCCTAGCACTCAGGAGGAGGATCTCTGTGAGTTTGAGGCCAGCCTGGTCTACAAAGTGAGTTCTAACAGCCAGAGCTGTTAGACAGAGAAACCCTGTCTTGAAAATCCAACAGAAAACAACAACAAAAATCCCACATTTATTTGTATTTGTGTGTATATATGTGTCTATGTGAGTGTGTGTCCCACGTGTGCAGTGCCTGAGGAGACCAGAAGAAGTCATGAGATCCCCTGAAGCTGGAGGCGCAGGTGACTGTGAGCTGTCTCACATGGGTACTGGCTGCTAAATTCAGGTCCTCTGGAAGAACAGCCAGCCTTCTTAACCTCTGAGTCATCTCTCCAGCCTATTTTTGTATTTTTGGAGAGAGGGTCTCATGTAATTCAGGCTGGCCTCCAACTCACTACATAGCTAAGTGAGGGGAGTCCCTGCAGGTGTCCAGGAAGGGAAGCAAACAGCTCACAAAGAATGAAAACCCGAGCCGGGCGATGGTGGCACACTCCTTTAATCCCAGCACTAGGGAGGTAGAGGCAGGTGGATCTCTGAGTTCTAGGTCAGCATGGTCACCAGACATATAGAGAAATCCAATCTCAAAACAAAAGCCAGTGCAGATAGACTTGATCAACCTGGATCAGACTTTAGGGAGACTAACAAGAGGCGGTTTATTCCCAATGTATTTAAGCACAGCATAATCTGGAAAGAAGTTTCCTGGTGTAATACAACTCCTGGTGCACAAGGAAGTGTAATCACATTGAGACTCAACTCAGGGTACAGTAATTTCTTCCAAGAAGAGCAGTCCCAGAGATAGGCTACCTGTACTAGCTTAATAGAGGTCACGGGGTATTAGCCACTTCCTGTTGGTTGTAGGCACTTGATATGGCCTGGCCCAACAGATAACACCAGCTTATCAATCACTTCCAATTCTCAGTTTTCTGAATGGAAGAACAGGTTTTTCATCTTTCCTGTTGGAAAGACAATCCAGTGTGTTTAACAACCACGGTTTTTCTGGAGCCACTAGGTCACAAGGACCTCCCGGTGAGCTACGCACCCCACAGCTAAGGATGACCTTGAACTCCTGATCTTTCTGTCTCCACCTCTGAAGTCCTGGGATTCCAGGTTTGCACCACCAGGCCTACTCTGGCCAAATAAATGTTAAATAAATGAAATAATAAACCGTTAATCCTCAGGATTTCCATCTCTACTTGGCACCCACCAAACACCGGGGAAGAACCTGAGCAAACAGCTCAAATTTGTGTTTTCCTTTTGCTCAGACTTCTACTTCACCGCCTGAACTACCCAAGTACAACAGAGAAGGGCAAAGCCCGGCAGATGTTGCCATCAGCACGGTGCCAGGTTCAGACTCTGTACCCAGGAGCACGAGGCCACAGGACTGAGGACAGTCAGCGGCTGCACTGCCAAGTGTCCATCTAACGCCCTCGATCTGGCTGGAATCTTTTTCCAGAAGTGGGTAAGATATATAATGGTGTCCAGCAGAGTCTTACTGCCTAAGACCTCACGGGCTGGGATGCAGTTTAATTGGTAGAGCGCTTACGTACCATACATAAAGCCCTGGGTTCCAACTCCAAACCACAAAAAAACCAGAGTGGCAGTGGCATGGCAGGAGATAGAGGCAGGGGGAAATGGGAAGTTCAAGGTCATTCTCGGTTACAGTGTTTGAGGCCAATCTGCAATACGTGAAAACCTGTCTCAATATGTATCTATTTCGTGGGAGATGACAGACAGATATATGAACATTTCATGGCAGGAATCTGAGGCTCATCCCAGCCTGTATCTTCTGAGGGCAGAAAAATAACCCTGCTCCATGTTGAGGTCACTCCTGGCCCTTACAAGGCCGCTTGTCGAACCTCAGACAGGAGGGTAGGGACTGGCAAACCTTGAAACAAGTCCAGCCCCAGAGGCTGTCACAGCCCAGTGACCACCCTGGCTCCACACGCAACCCCTGATCTCCTCCTACCTACCCCGACACAGCCCTGAACCTAATGTATGGGACCTCTTGACCCTTGCCTCTGACCTCCCACTACCACCGCTGATCTGGCACTGTCTTCTGGGCCTTTCAGCCAACATGTCTGGGTAGAATCCATCCTTAACTCGACTCTTCCAGTGTCTGACCAGGCAGACAAAACAGATGGTTCAACAGGCACGGGAGAATGCAGAAAAGCTTTCGGCAGACACACAGCACTGCCTTGGCTTTCGAGTTAAAAAGCGTCGGTACCATCAGTCCACGAGGCAATCCAGGCCCTATCATGTCTGTGTTAAACTGATCCTTGCATAGGTCACCACACCTGGCCAGAGGTGGATCATGGTGGATAGTCCTAAATAGGCAGGTTTAGCTTGGGGTTGATCTCAGCCTGACCATGCCATGAGCACAAACACTAAGACACCAGGGACCATGCTCGGACTGACAGCAGAGACTGGGAAGCCTGGCTCTGTGTCCCTTTAGAGGTGGCATGGGCTGGGGACATAGCTCATTTGGTAGAAGCTCCAGGACTGCATGCTGGGCATGACTGTTTACACCTATAACCCCAACACTTAAGGGCTAAAGACAGGATGATCAGAAGTTCAAGGTCATCCTTGGCTGTGGTAGTGAGTTCAAGACCACCCTGGGCTATGAGACACTGCTTTTAAAAAATAAATAAACAATAAATAAATAAATAAATCCTCAAAGGCAAGGCTTGCCAATCTTTGTGGCTCTGGTACCTGGAAGTCCCTTGAGAGTCCTCGCAGACAAGTACAGGTGCCAGCAAGGCTGGTCTGCCCCAGGAACCACGCAACTTGCTTTAATCCTGGCTAAAGGACGCCCCCATGAGATGCCACCTTGGGGGCACCAGTGACACAGGCTGGACACAGGAGAAGGAAGGGAGCCTCCCGATGCTTACCTGGACCCACATCAGGACTGGAGAGGTGACCGTCAGCCTGTCCTTGTGTACATGGACACCGCCCTGAGTTCTGCAGGGAGAACAGGAATGTGGGACGCAGCTCCACGGCAGGCTGAGCTCTGAGAAGCTGCCCCGTGGTGATAGGAGACCGCCAGAGAGAGACACTATCCCAGGAGTGCCAAGCAGACACTATGTTCTGGCTGGGGAAAGGTGTGAAGTAAAGGCCTAGAGTCCTTGTTCATATGAAACTAACAGCACATTTTTATTTCAGTTTTCACCTTATCTATATACGTGTTTTGCCTACATGTATGTCTGCGTACCACATGTGTGCCTGATGTCCTGGGGAGTCAGAACAGGCTGTAAGAACTGGAGTCACAGAAGGCTGTGAGCTACTACGTGGGTGCTGGGAATTGAACCTAGGTCCTCCGGAAGAGCAGCCAGTGCTCTTAACTGCTGAGCTGTTTCTAGAAGAAACCTCAGTAGAGAAAACCTTGCCTAGAAGGCTGGGTTGGGCCTGGCGACTGAAAACTGGTTGCTTCCCCCACTCCCAGAGTTGTAGCTCAGGCTGGCCGGAAATCAGCCCAGATTGCTGAGATAGCAAGTATGTACCACCACACCCAGCAGAGCCAAGTGCTGCTGCTCCTGTAAGCCCTGCACTCAGGAGGCTGAGGCAGGAGGGCTATGAGCTGGGGGCTAGCCTAGGCTACAAAGTGAGTCTCTGTCTCAGTGACAACAACAACCAGATGTGGTGGCTGTAACCTCGGCCTCTGGGAAGGAAGCAGGAGGGTTTAAGGTTATCTTCAGTTACACAGTGAGGTACATGAGACCCTGTTTCAAAAAGGGGGAGAGGCACCCTGTGGTGGCGACGCACACCTTTAATCCCAGCACTTGGGAGGCAGAGGCATGGTGTGGGAGAATTGTCTGTATTCTGTCAATCATATTCTAATAAAACGCTGATTGGCCAGGCAGGCAGTATAGGCGGGAAAGCCAGATAGGAAGTAGGGGTGGAGCAAAGAGACTGGGAGTATTCTGGGAAAACAGGAGGCTTCCTCCACCATTCCTGCCCAGACCACCAAAGAGGCAACATGTGAGCTGTCACACTGAGAAAGGTACTGAGCCGTGTGGCTAACATGGATAATGATAATGAATTAATATAAGTTACAAGGACTAATAAGAAGCCTGACCTAATGGGCCAATCAGTTTATAATCTTATGGAGTCCTGTGTGTGATTTTTCCTTGGGAATTGCTGGCTGTGGGGTGCTGGGCGGAACAGATACCCCAACAAGCCGGCCCTCATGTTACAGAGGCAGGCAGATTTCTGTGAGTTTGAGGCCAGCCTGGTCTATGTAGTGAGCTCCAGAGCAGCCAAGGCCACACAGAGAAACCCTGTCTGAAAAACAACAAAAGGTGGAGGGAGAGGCAGAGAAGATACACTCAAATGCAACACACCTGTACACATACGCATCCCTTCCCTTTCCTCTTGCTGTGTGCCAAAAGAAGAAGAAAGAGGAAGGCCCACAGTAGATGTGACCACTGGACTCTGACCAGAAGTGTGAGGTCCTGTGAACCTTTCTTTGTTTGGTTTGTTTTTTGTTTGTTTGTTTGAGGCAGGGTTTCTTTGTGTGACACCCTAATTGTCCTTGAACTAAGTTCCGTGGTCCAGGCTGGCCTCAAACTCACAGAGGTACGCCTGCCTCTGCCTTCCTACTGGGATCAAGGGTGTGCACCACTACTGCCCGGTTTTGGGAACAATTTTCTTTATAACTTCACCAGTCTGTGGTACTCTTTCATTAGCAACAGAAGATAGCCAAGTACAACCATCATGTTGCCCAGCACATGGTCTGGCAAAAGCAGATCTCAAACATATGAGTGAGTAAATTACTTGAATTGGAAAAGAAGAGGGGGAAAAAAAATCACTCCTTGTACGGCAAGAAAAGATTCTCAGGGGCTGGAGAGATGGCTCAGGGGTTAAGACCTGGGTTTGATTCTCAGCACCAGCTCACAACCATCTGTAACTCCAGTTACTGGCGTCTGATGTTGTTTTCTGACCTCTCTGAGCCCCAGGCATGAATGTGGTGCACAGACATAAATGCAAGCAAACACCAATACATATATGATGATGATAATAATAATAACAATAGAAGGTGATCAAGTTCTATGTAGACTTCCTCTCTGGCACTGGGTTAAGTCAGAACAGTATAGCTAATCAGCACAAATGGTTTAGAGATCTCAACCCACCCACTCAAGCACACCAGGTACATACCCAAATTCAGGGAGGTCTCTGTCAAAATTCACACTGTCCTCGTAGAAGACATTCAACTCTGCATCAACAGCAACGACTTTAACCTGGAAGGCATTTATGAAAATGGTATCTAGGGTTTTCTCATTCTCTACTTTCAGTCCAAGGGGCTCCTAACTTCAGTCACGGTTCAGCAGCACTGTAACCACAGCAACAGAAGTTTCATGGGTCACATGTTCAAAGATTCAGTAATCATCATCATAATAAATTTTTATAAAAAGAAAAAAGAAAAAAATCAAAGAATGGGAAACCCAGCTGAAACTCCCACTGTTTACAAGAATCTATTCCCCAAACAGTGAAGACCAGGTCCAGACCTGGCAAAGAGGCGTGTCTCCAGGGGTTGTCCCCAGAATCATGACCACCGTCAAGCCATACATGACATCCTAATGAAGCCATTCCAAGCTCATGCAAGATGGGGAAACAGGTCTCATCGAGTAAGGAGACTGAGTCTTTCGGGATGCTCCCCTCAGAGATCGGAAAAGCTCTGCTTCTCTTCATCCATCTGAGGAGAGGGGCTCCACAGCCACTGTTCCCCAAGGATGCATGTTGAAACCCCCTGGGCGTCCCATGCCTGCTTGGAAGCCAGGTTTTGATTCCACCCAGCTATCGGTGGAAACACCAACCTCTGACCAGCAGCCCTAGAACCACGGACCCTGCCAGCCAAGAGAGGTTACCGGGGTAGGGGAAAGGAGGTGCGGGGGCAGGGACAGGCAAAGTCCTGTCCTGACACATTTACACAATATGTCATTCTATTTTTCAAAGATGCCTCAGTGGTGGCGCTCTCCTTTAAACCCAGCGCTCAGGAGGCAAAGGCCGGTGAATCTCTAAGAGTTCAAGGCCAGCCTGATCTCCACAGTGAGTTCAGACCAGCCAGAGCTACATAGTGAGGCCCTGACTCAAAATATGAAATAATATAAAAAAAATAAAGTAAAGGTGCTTGGCTGTGAAGCGGATCTAGGTTAGCATGCTCATACACCGCCGCCAGCCTGGGGGCTCTGCTGCTTTCGCTGGGTGTCCTGGATCCCTGCCACCCGCAACCCTGACTCCTCTTCCGCGTGGACCCCTGGGGTCACTTCCCCACTCCCGATGCACGTCCACGGGGTTCCGCGGGGAGGCACCCGCGGTTTCCGGGAGGGCGCGTGTGGCTGGCAGGCATCTCCAGGCTCCCACTCCGCGCCCCGCACGTACCTGCTGCGTGCTGAAGTCCCAGCCCAGGCAGCAGCGGCGGCCGGCGCGCTCCGTCATGGCCCTGGTGGTTCCCTTGGCGGGTCCGTGCGTCTGTCCGTTCGTGTGTCCCGCGGCGGCGAGACCGTCGCCGCGCTCCGACACCCAGAGACGCCAGGGCCCGCCTCTCGCCACGCCCCGCAGGACTCTGGCCTGGAGTCACGAGGCGGGTCTACACTCTGGCGCCGCCTGCGGGAGGACGCTAGTGGGACTGCGGCTGGCTGGGACCCTAGACGGTCCCCAGCAGGACTGGTTCGCACCCTGTAGTGCAGCAGCTTCCCTCTAGGTTCACCCCACTGCCCTAAGAAGGCTTTCTTTCCTTGAAGACACGTGGGACACAGGTGGGAACTCAAAGGTGACTAGTTCTTGCAAGTTCCTCAGGCGGCTCTGGGCCAGGGAACCCTTTGGGTAAGTAGAGTTGATGTTCCACCTCATGGTAGTGACTTAAAAGTCACAAGGAAATGGGGCCTGAGATTGGAAGACCTGGGCCTTGACTGGCCTTGTCCATACCTAGCACATCAGTTTGTTACCTAAATGGGTCGCATCTCACCTCTGGATTTAAACTCCGTGTCCTTGGGTCTGTGAGATGGTTCAGGGTTAAGACACTTGCCACCAAGCATGAGAATCTTAGTTTCATCCCCAGAATCTATGTGGTAGAAAGTTCCTACACATCTTAGAAGTTATCCTCTGACCTCCACATGCACAGCTTGGTACATGTGCCAAAATACACACCATACACAAACAAACAAACAAAGACAACATTTGAAAACAAAGTCAGAGGCTGTGATGGCCCCTTGGATGAGACTTATTCATCCCTGTGGGCAGCTAATGTATTGGTGGTCTAATATGTCAGGCAAATATGTCTAATATGTCAGGCATGGCAAAGTCAGACAAGAGCCCAAACCAACCCAGCAGTGGTGGCACATACCTTTAATCCCAGCACTTCTGTGAGTTCGAGACCAGCCTGGTCTGCAGAGTGAGTTCCAGGACAGCCAGGACTGTTTCATAGAAAACCCTGTCTTGAAAAACCAAGCCAAATGAACCAAACAAACAAAAACAAAGCCAAACCAAACAAACAAACAAAAACAAATCCAAACCAGATGTGTTTATAGAGCTGAGGGTACCTTCTTTTCCCCAGTGACATCTTTCTAGAAATCCCATACATCTGCTGCGCAGACAATGTTCAGCCTTGCTACACTCCAGCACTTGGAGCTCTGCCTGAAAAAGAAGGTTTCCATCCTCCGGACATTCACCACTCGTTGCGGACACAGGTCCTCAGCAATCTCCACTCAGGACACCAGTGGTCAGACATGGGGACTGCTCAAGAGCAAGTGTTGGTCCTCACAACAGTTTGACCAACTCCGTCCTATCTTTTGTTTGTCTGGGCCTTGTGTTTTATTTGTATTAATTCCATTTAAAAGGAAGAAAGAGAAGGAAGGAGGGAGGGAGGGAAGAAAGGAGAGAGGAGGGGAAAGCAGGAGGAATGAAACATTTCCCCGGTCATGGTGGCATATACCTATAATCCCAGCACTTGGGAGGCCAAAACAGGAGGATCTCAAGCTCAAGACCATCCTAGGTAAACTATTAAAACCCTGTCTCAAAATAAAATTCAAAGGGGACTGAGGAAGACAGCACCCTTTAATCCCAGTACTCTGGAGGTAGAGACAGGTGGATCTATAAATTCAAGGTCAGCCTGGTCTACAAAGAGAGTTCCAGGATAGGCAGGGCTACATAATAGACTGTCTCAAAATAAAAGGTGGTTGGGGAGCTGAATGCCCATCTGGGTGTGTTGGTGCACACCTTTAATTCAGGCACTAGGGAGGCTGTGCTGATGGATCTTTACAAGTTTGAAGTCAGCCTGATCCACATAACAAGTTCCAGGTCAGCTACATTGCAAGGCTACATTGCAAACTCCCAACCCCCCAAAAAAATGAAAGAGAAAAAAAGGAAGTGGGGGCTGATGAGATTTTGCCTAATCTGTGCTCTGGAGTCAACCCTTTGTAACTACAAAAATCAAGATCTTAATTAAACTTGGGGTAGTAAGTTACACTGTAATCCAGCACTTGGAAGGGTGAGACAGGAAGACAATTAGTTTGTGGCCAGCCTGGGATACAGAGCAAGATCTATCTCAGAAATAACAATCTTATCTATCTATCTATCTATCTATCTATCTATCTATCTATCTATCATCTATCTATCATCTATCTCCCATCTACTTATACCTATCTACTATCTATCTACATCTCTCTGTCTCTGTCTCTCTCTCTCTATTTATCATCTATCTCTCATTTATCTATCTATCTACATCTCTCTATCATCTATATTTATCTATCATCTATCTACTTACCTACTTACTATCTATCTATCTATCTATCTATCTATCTATCTATCTATCTATCTCTATTCATCCTCCTCCTTCTTGTTTGACATTCTTGCTATATGTTTCAGGTTGAACTTACTAAAATGTCTGGGCTCAAAGGATCCTATGCCCAGATTGCCCTTGGATTTACACTCCTCCTGCCAGAGCCTCCCTGTAGCTGAGATTACAGGCCTGTAACACCAGGTGTGGCATGACTTAGTCTGTTTTAAGACAGAATCTCCTGTGTCCCGGGCTGGCCTTGAACTCACTGTGTAGCCAAGACTGGCCTTGATTTCCTGATCCTCTTGCCTCACCTTCTCAAATGCTGTAATTGCAGGTCTATGCCACTATACCCTCTTTGAAATGATCTTATGTTGTCACCCAAGGGTCAGCAGATTACCTTGGGGTAGGCCCATCTAAGCCTAGCTCAGTTGGGGTGGCTCTGCTCCACATGACTCCTGTCCTCACCTTGAGCTCAATATGCTGACTGTGCACTTGTGGGATAAAGAATGGGGCCAAGGTGGGACTGGAGAGATGGCTCAGAAATTGAGAGCATTGGCTGCTCTTCCAGAGGTCCTAAGTTCAATTCCCAGCAACCACATGGTGGCTCACAATCATCTATAATGAGATCTGGTGCCCTCTACTGGCATGCAGGCGTACACTATGCATAATAAATAAATCTTAGGAAAAAAAATGGAGCCAAGGGCATGATGGATCAGGCCTTTGCATTCTGGAGGCAGAGGCAGGCAGATCTCTGTGAGTTCAAGGCTAACCTAGGCTACATAGAGAGTTCCAGGACAACCAGGAATACACAGTGAGACCCAGTCTCTAAATAAATAAATAAATAAAGCAAGCCAATGATGAAATCCACAAGAGGCCAGGACTACACAGTGAGACTGGGGCTCAAATAAACAAACAAACAAATAAATAAATGGGGTCAATGACGAAATCCCCAAGAGGCCATTGCCAGAGATGGGTTTCATACTCTTTTTAGAGACAAGGAAAGGAACTCAGGCTGGATGGTGAGGGTGATCTCCTATTTGGCTGGAATGTTTGAGGTCCTCTAAGTGGAGATGTCAGGCAGGCCAGGTTGAATGTGTGGCCTCCAGCTCAGGACAGAGGTCTGAATTGAGAACAATGATTTGAGAGCTGTTGTCTCCCAATGGGCGAGAGCTCAGAAAAAGACAGATGGAGTGAATTATGAAGAACACATCAAACAGCACAGAGAATTACAACAGGCAGACAATAGACGTCATTAGAAGAACCTTCTGGAAAGGTTGGGCTTTTGGCAGTTCCATGCCACCGCAAGTCTGTTAGGCTGAACAGCAGAGAGGCCGATCTTATGAATTCAACAAGAGAAGAATCAGTGAGTCCCCAAGGACCTTCCTGTGTGTCCTCACGTTGCTCTGGTCAATGTCATGGCCTAAGCAGCAAACACCTGTTTCTCAGTTCTCAGCCTGGGAGGTCTAAGGCCACAGCCCTGACGGTCAGCTCCTGGTGAGCACTCTTTCCCAGATTTGCAAAGGGTAGCCTCCTCTGTGTGTGTGTGCCCCTAGAGAAAGGGGAAACTCATGCTGTAGAGGGGTACAGGGAAGAAGGCAGAACCTCACCCCGACACACACAGGAGCTTCAGGAGTTCCCCTAACCTTTTAGTTATCTCAACTCAGGCCAAACTGAAAAGCCTGGCTTCAACACTGAAGAGAATCTCAGGACTAGCCACAGAAAGCAGAATTAGAGTCTAGTTTTTTGTTTTTATGTTTATTATATAGTGTGCCTGATGGAGCGTGTAGCCGTTCGAGGATAGCATGCAGAAATGGTTCTTTTCTTCTACCCTGTGGATTCTGGGGTCAAACTCAAGTCATAAGACTTGAAAGATAAAGCCCTTACCCACTGAGCCATTTTGATGGCTCAAGATATTTTAATATTGACTTTAAGCACAAAGACTATGGCGGTCTGGAGAGATGGCTTCATGGTAAAGAGTGTAGTGGTCTGTCCTGTCCCTTTAAGGGACAAGCCTTGCCCCTTCCCTCCCCAACACAACCCCTTCAGCAGAGGCAAGCTGATCTTCAGCTTCCAGCCTGAATCTCTTCTTTCCCCTGAAGAGGCAGCTCCTGCCTCGCTCCATTCTCCCCACTTCTCCCCTTCGCCCCCGTCTCTCTTCCCTTCCCTTTCATAACCACTAAATAAATATCTAACCTCACTCTGCATGGTGTGCCTAGCCATGTCTCTGTCTCTCGCCCACTGCGTGGCTCCCTGCCCAGGACCAACCGCCTTCGGAGACTTGCAGTGTGGTCTCTTGGCGTGCCCATCTGTCTGTCTCTCCTCATAGGACTTCCTACCCCTCTTTGGCCCACTGCAGTCACTTGGGGAACTATGCTGTCCCTGCCTGGGACTGGCTGCTCTCAGGACCCCACTGCCCACTGCTGCAGCTTGGAGATCCACAGCATTTTTACTTAATCCATTACAAAGAGCACATACTGCTTTTGGAGAGGAGCTGAGTTTGAGTCCCAGCACCCACTTCAAACTTGGTCTACAGAATTCAAGACCAGCCTGAACAATTTAGTGATCTCTGTCTGAACATTAAAATAAGTGTTGACCAGGGTGGTTGTGGAACATGCCTTTAATCCCAGCATTCAGGAGGCAGAGGTAGGTGGATCTCTGTGAGTTTGAGGCCAGCCTGGTCTACAGATGAGGTCCAAGACAGCCAGGGCTACCCCCACCAAAAAAATCCTGACTGAAAAAAAATAAAAAAGCAAAACCAATATGAGGGCCGAGAGTACAGCTCAGCAATAGAGTACTTGCCTAGCAGGTGAAAGGCCATAGATTCAACTCCCAGTATTGTGAAACAAAAATCCAAATAAACCAGAAATTAGGGACTGAATTAGATAATTCACTTATAATTCAGATTTAATAATTTATGTATCTGTCACTTTATTTTGTATTTATATGCAGAAGACTTCATCTTGGGGTATATTAAAAACTAAATCTATCTTCAGTCTATTGTGACTCAAAAGAAATAAAATTAGCCTTTAAATCAGTGGGAGGCTATTATGAGTGAAGATATCACCAACCATCCCTATCAGGGTAAGCATTGCATAAGCCCTGGTCCCAGTGGGAGGGTTTGGACCTGTCTTCGGTTAAATGAGTAACTTGTGCAGCTGACACTAAGATTTTGAAAAACCTGAGTTCAGTGTTTGCAGCTGGAGAGATGCTCAGTGGACTTTGATGTCTGGGCAAACAGAGCTCTAAAGGGAAATATGCTTATTTCCCCCAAACAGGGATATGCCTGATGTTTGTGTTTGCATTCTCCTTAAAAGCAAATTGGCTTAGGAAAATTAAATGTTAATCTTCTTTCTGGTTTTATGGTGTTTATCCCCTGGGGTCTGTGTGCCTAGTTTCCTTCACTCTGAACATTCAAAGCTAGCATGTCTACACACATGAAAGAAAGGTCTGGATGGATATATCCCTGTGTTATATCCTTGAAAATTATCTATGAAAATGAGATTCAGAAACTAGTGGCTAGGAGTGACTTTTACATTGTCATTTTCTTTATGTGGCTTATAATTTTTAATTTATGGACTGAAATGATAATCCATCCTCTCCCATCCTACCCACATGTTTTGAAGGGACATAGTGTCTCATGCTTCAGACCATGCTGGCCTAGAATTATATAGACCTCCAACTCACAGTGATCTGCCTGCCTCAGCCTCCTAAGGGTTGAGATTATAATCCGATTGTCTGGGATTTTTTTTATTGGAACTTTTAAAAGAAACATTTTTTAATTATTTAAAAATTAATAAATAAAATAATAAATAAAAATAGAATTTATGTGCATGTGCATCTGTGCATGGAGACGGAGTGCAGACGCCCGTGGGGTCCACAGAGGCTGGCAGGACAGGCAGTCCTCTACAGGAGTCAGTTGCACTTTCAATGGCTGATCCATCTCTCCAGTCCCTGATTAGAACTCTTAAATCCTTCCCTTTATGAGATGGGATCTCTATTTTTTCCTTAATTGAAAATAAGATTTTTTTCTCACATAATATGTTTTTTGTTGTTTGTTTTCCGAGACAGGATTTTCCCTGTGTAACAGCCTTAGTTGTGCTGGAACTAGTTGTTGTACACCAGACTGGCCTTCAACTCACAGAGATCCGCCTGCCTCTGCCTCCCAAGTGCTGGGATTAAAGGCGTGCGCCACTGCCGCCACCCCCCCCCCCCTGCAATATTATCTTCATTACAGTCTTCCCTCCCTCCGTTCTTCCCAGTTCCTCCTGCCCTCCCTCCCCCCGGATCTACCCACTTTCTGTCTCATTAGAAAACAAACAGGCTGCTAAGGAATAATAATAAAACATAAATAATAAAATATAATAAGATAAAGAAAAAATTAACATGCCAAAATAGGACAAAACAAACGGAAGGAAAAGAACCTGAGAAAAGGCACAAGAAATACAGACACAGAGATACAGACGCAGAGATACAGACGCAGAGATACAGACGCAGAGAGAGATACAGGCACAGACAGAGATCCACTCACTGCACACTCAGAAATCCCATAAACTCTCTAAACTGGGAGCCATGATATATACACAAAGAGCCTGTAGGGTAAAAAAGATACAGATTTTTTTCTTATTTCATATATATATATATATATATATATATAATTTTCCTTTTTATTTTTAAAGCCCTGACATGACCTTATGTGACAAGGAACCTCCAAAGAAGCAGTAGAGTTAGTTCATTTTCTGTTGGCCATCTGCTGGGCATGCAGACTACCCTTAGGAATAGCTTGCTGGGCCAGTGGTGGCCCATGCCTTTAATCCTAGCACTTGAGAGGCAGAGGCAGGTGGATTTCTGAGTTTGAGGTCAGTCTGGTCTACAGAGTTCCAGGACAGCTACAGCTACACCAAGAAGCTCTGAATCAAAAAACAAAACAAAACAAAAACAAAAACAAACAAACAAAAACAAACAAACAAAAATCCTTAAACTTCATTTGCATGTGGCTATCAATTGAAGATGCCTTCTGGGTTAGGGATGGGGGCGTGTGCCCAATTCTTTCAGCTCTAAGACCCCATCTGGCAGGCCTGTGCATGCCTGTGCATGTTACCTCAGTCTGTGAACTCATGTGTGTACCGATCATATTGACTTAGAGGACTGTGTTCCCCTGGTGTCCTTCATTCCCATAGACAGAATTCCCTGTAGCTCAGGCTTACCCCAAAGTCTAGGGAGTTGAGAACAACCTTCAGCGAGGTTGTTCTCTCCAGCCTCTGCCTCACTTTGCAAGTGCTGGGCTTACAGGCTCGCACCGCTCTGCCTGACTTAAATCTTTCCTCTTGATAACTAGAGGTTTGGGCCATGAGTGGAGGCCTGCAGTCCCAGCACTCTAGAGGGAGATGCGGTTCAGTGTCTGCTTTGGCCTGCGTCCTACCCTGTTTGGCCTGAGTGCACCCTGGTCTGCTGTTCTCAGTCCAGAGGCACTGTGGGAGGAAAAACTGCCTTGGATGTCCCGTTTCAGACCCTAGCAGGCCCCTCACATCCTCAGGATAAAAACAGTCTCTCCTCCACCCAGTTTTCTTGTGCTCTGTCCCCTCAGGCCTCCAGCTCCTGAGGGCAGGGAAATCTGTCTTCTTGCCCTGACCAGAGCAGGTGCGTGGAGACCAAATGCACAAAGTGGGGGCACTACTGAGCCGTGTGCTGGACGGCTGGGCCAGTCCAGCTGGAGAGACTGCCCCACGGAGGGCCAAACAGGATATCCCTGGACCTGCAGCAGCCACCAGTGGGAAAGCAGGGGGCAGCTTCAGAGGGAGCTTGCCTTCAACAGCCATCTACTGTCCTACCGGAAGCTCCAGGCTTACCAGAGTGGACATTCTACAGACTGAGAGATGGCGTTTGCTCAGGGGTCTGCTCCTGGAGTGTCCCGCAGGGAGGCAGGGAGGAGGACAGCACCTGGCCGGGCTGTTCCCAGGCTGGCCTTGCCTTGAGGGTGGCAAGTCAACCATTCTCCCTTGAGATTGAAGATGAAGCCTGTGTCTAGTATACTAAAGGGAAATCAGAGGACGGCCTGATGGGAGGGGGTGGGGATAGCGAGCTCCTCAAGACAGCTGGGAGGGATGTTCTGTTCCAGGCCTGTTGAGCTCCAGGGTGAGCTTCATCGGCAGGTCGGTATGGAGCTGAGTTAGTTAGTCAGAGTGCCTGGCTTGAAGGACAGAGCCAGGGAAATGCCAGAGAACAGAAGCAGAAGTGGAGCATGCTAGCAGGTTCCTGGGCAGCAGCTGAGGCCAAGGGAGCACAGGGGACTACTGGGTGCCTGAGATCGGAGAAACTGCCCCACAGTCCAGTGCCTAAGGAGCCAAGGGGTGAGCCTCAGCACCGCTGTGGAACTCCGTCTTCCAGGCTGCTGGCCTCCTGGACACTCAGCAGTTGTGGCTCCAGAGAGCTACACAAGATTAACATTAACATTCCATTTTAGAGGGGAGAGAAGGCTCATGACACATGGCATCCCTCTCTTGAGGATAAGAAAGGGTTAGCCATTTCTAGTGAGGGGCGGAAGGACATTTTCTTTGGTGGTGTGACCAATCACAAGCTGCCCATGCTCTTGTAAGGAAGCCCTGATTTAAAACAAACAAACAAACAAACAAAACTCTTTGGTTCATTAAGCTGGACTTGAGTGGAGTCAGCTTTGATCCCTCGTTGGCTCTCTATCCGGAGGAAGAGCTATTTGTTCATGTCTCACTAGGAAAGTTCACGTGACAGCTCCACGGAAGGGAGGAGGCAGAGGGTGAAGGTCAGATGCTGACTGAACTGCCAGCCTAGGAGCAGAGCGCTGTCAGCTCCACTGGAGCCTAGCAGCAGGTGCCCTCTGACCCACCTCCCTGCAGAATGCCACATGGATCTCTGACTTTGGTGGCAATGTCAACTTCCTGCCATTTGCTCTCCTTGGCCCTGCCCTGTCCCAGGGACCCCAGCTCACAAGCCCACCCCAGGAAAGATGCTTCATCCCAGAGTCATAGCCTTGTGCTCCCAGGAGTGCCCCTGTTGGTGCCCCTGTGGGCTTTCTGTCTGTGTCAGCACTGCAGCTCTCCGCCAGCGGGTACACCTCAGAACCTGCCTCGTGAATGAGCAGCAAACCCAGGAGGTCTACCAAACTTCAGTGGCTGCTGGAGCAACCGGATCATGTAAGTGGGTACGTTCTGCCTTCACACGGGTCCACTGCTCCTGGGTGGGACCGAATAAGACACCTAGGAAGGTGATTGAGTACCTGGCACTTCCGGAGTCTGCCAGTCCTCCAGTCCCCGGTTGCCTTGCCCTGAATTGCTGGCATCCGCAACATCTGTGAGGCACGACTGGTCTGAGGACAACACATGGAGCAGTCTGTGCCCACGAATGCTTTTTTTCTCCGTGCAGGACATGGAAGCTAAGGCCGTGAGGCACACCTAGGAGTTCTCCAGTCTTGCAGGTTTTCTTCGCTGACAGGTAAAAGCTGCCATGGGCTTCTGGGGCACCGCCCACAGGACCTGGGCACTGGCTGGGGCTGCCTAACTTCACCTATCCCCACCACCTATTCCCAGGAGCAGCGGGCTACCCTGAGCCCAGGTGGTGGAGGTCTGCTGGCTTTAGCCGCGGGGCAGAGGACATTGGATGATGCAGCCTTCCTATACATGGCGCCTTAGCAGCTCGAAGGCATCCAGCAACAGCCTCAGCCGCAGTTAGAGAATTCAACATGATCCAGACTAGATGGGCAGCAGGACAGCGGCTGAGGGCTGGGATCGTTTCTGGGATGAGGGAGACTCTTCTAGGGCAAGGGTGTCAGCTGAGGTCCCGCAATGACAGGTCTCCGGAACTTGCACATAACTAGATCACTAGGGAGACCACAGCTCTTAATTATGATGCAAATCACACAGAATGGTCCCTGGAGGAAATGAGAGTCACTAAAATGAGACAACATAGATTTATTATGTCCATCCTGCCTCAAGGGAGGCACCGTCCCTCAGACGTCCACAATGCTTTTGCAGCCTCGGTGTTCCATGCTCACTTCGGCATAGCTTGGGGACCTTGACAGGGCAGTCCCTCTTTGTGCCACGAAGATCACATTATCTAGATTAAAGTGCTGTGATACACCATCCAGTGCTCAGTGTCCCGTGCAGATGGCTTCCGTAGAGTCCCCCTCTGGCCACCACTGTAGGACTCTCTGGGCAGTGCCTGCAGTCAGGGCTTCAGTACCCAGGGTATTCAAAGACAGCAGCGGCCCCCATCCCTGTCCCGATGCACATGGACACCACTCCATAAGCCCTGGGGAAAGAACCTGCGTTAGATGCGCAGAGTCGGCCCAAGAATTGCCCTCACAAGGCAGAGCTGCAGCAACAAGGGCTCACGGACAGATGAGCAGAGCAGATCTGTGGGAACTGAGCCGTGGACAGACACACACAGCCAGGTGGCAGACACTTTCCACAGGTTGTGCTGCCTTTTAAGCAAGCCACCAGGAAGGCAGGTCTCGCCCTTCCATCCCTACTTCAGAATGTGTGTGTGTTTGTGTTTGTGTGTGTGCGCGTGCGCATGTGCACGCGCAGGCATGCTCACCTCCCCAGGCCCCAGCCATCAGACACCCCAGCTCCAACACCCCCCCTACACCACTCCACAAGGAGCAGCCTTACCGTTTCCCACGGCGCTTCAGTTCATTGAGCAGCGTGACGACCTGCCTAGCACCGGTGCAGCCCAGGGGGTGGCCCAGGGCTATTGCACCCCCCAGGGGGTTCACCTTCTCGGCAGGAATTCCCAGCTTCTCCACACAGTAGAGGGCCTGGAAGGAGCCAGAGCAATGGCTGGAGCCTCCATCTGCTCTGAACCACCAATCTGATCAATTGGTGGGCCCAATTGATCCCACCATGACACCCAGGCTCACCTGACTGGCAAAGGCCTCATTGATCTCAAAGACGTCTATGTCATTCACAGTCAGCCCTGCAGACAAGATACAGAGCAGAGCTGACAGCCATGGCGGGACTCTGGATTTCCTCTAGGCTCCACCCCAAGCACAGCTCTCGTGGTCCACTGTGTGCCAGGCGTGTGGGTCCCAATGGTAGGGTAGGGAGGCCTTGACTGTGGGGCGCTAGCCTGACCCACCTCCATTCCAGAGCACCCGCAGGTCAAACCCAGCACACCCCAGTCCCAGATACAGGTAACGAGGGGTCCAGGTACAGGATGAGAAGGGGCCGCTCACCTGCTTTCTGCAAAGCTGCAGGGATGGCATAGGCAGGACCGATGCCCATGATGTCAGGAGGGACGCCGACCACTGCATAGGACCTCAGAACCCCAAGGATGGGAAGGCCCAGTTCTTCAGCCTTGGACCTCCGGGCCAGCAGGACGGCAGCTGCTCCATCACTCACCTGACTGGAGTTTCCTAGGGGAGGAAGAGTGGGGTGAGGAGGCCTCAGACTGAGCTGAAGAGAGCCAGCCCTCCACCATCACCTTGCCAAGGGGCCTGGTCAGCTCCATCAGCCCTGTTCCCGGCCCACACTCACCAGCTGTGGTAGAGCCTCCATCCTTGAAGGCCGGCTTCAGCTTGGCCAGGCCCTCCATGGTGGTGCTGGGACGGACGCCCTCATCCTGGGACACCGTGATGGTTTTCTTGTTGCCCTTGTCATCAAGGACTGTGGTTGTCACAGGCACGATCTCAGCTCGGAAACAGCCCCTGCTCTGGGCTCTTGCAGCCCTGCCAGCACCATGGACAGTGAGATACAGGCATGTATAAGCTCCCTTCTTGTCTGTCCCTAGCTTTTGCCAAAAAGTACAGGAGAACATATACCTCAGGGGCTGAAGTCTGGGAATATACGTGGTCCTTGGGGAGCTCTGATTGGAAGGAATTCCTCAGGACCCTCACCTCCTTCTTGGTAGGGACAGCAAGCCTAAGGTCATCCATAAGCTCTTCTTCATCTGCCCCACAGCTCTAGATCAGATCTAATCCCTATCTCAAAGCGGAGCAAGGAGTTAAAATGAAACTTAATTTGTGTGTGAGCGTGCACACATACATACACCATAGCATGCATGTAGTGGTCAGAGGTCAACTCTGGGGTGTAGGTGGAGGCCTTCTGTTCTTTTCCCGGCTGTCCAGACCCGAAATAATCACACAGAAACTGTGTTAATTAAAACACTGCTTGGCCTACTAGCTCAGGCTTCTTATTAACTAACTCTTACATCTTAAATTAAACCATTTCTATTATTAACCTTACTGGTAAACCACGAGCCTGTGGTAAAACACAAAATAATACAAACAGGTTAAGATGTAAGAGCTAGTTAATAAGAAGACTGAGCTAGTAGGCCAAGCAGTTTTTAATTAACACAGTTTCTGTGTGATTATTTCGGGTCTAGGCAGCTAGGAAACGAACAAACAGCCTCTGTCTATACTGGGGAATCAGTTTTCCCCTTTCACCTTGGCATTCTGTTTCAATGAGTTCAGGTAGCTGGACCACAGACTTCTCACTGCTTCTCTTGTCTCCACTAAGACCCCTGCTTGAGGAGGCCGTCTGGCCCAGACACTATGTGTTTCTTTGCTTTCTCTTCTTTGTGCAGTTGGGTTGATCAACCTAGCCTGTCCAGAGGTCTAAGGCTTTGTATTTCTCTGATGGCAGCCCCGCTTTGCCTGAGGTCACCTCCCCACACTCAGGCCTATTCCATAATTTGGAAAGGCAGTGCCCTAGCCCAACTCACCATGATGCTGGCCACTGCAGCCTCCCAGCTAGAGATATGAGTCTTGTCCCTTGGGAAAGCTCTACCTGAAACTACTAGGTTAGCCCCATGACCTACTCTCAAGTCCTATCAATAGCCCACCCCAGACGCACTCACTTCTGCTGGGAGGCCAGAGCAAAGGCATCCTGCTTCTGCCGTGAAATGCCAAACCGCTCAGCCACATTCTCTGAGGTTATCCTAGAAACAAACAGCAAAACAGGAGACTGTGGGTCTGCTGGCCTGAGGGCCAGGGCCATACTAAAGGCCTGTGCTTGCACCTCTGGGCATCCAGGCCAGAGTCTCCAGTCCATGCTCCAGCTACTCCTGGCCAATCACTGATATTGATCACCCATGTCAACAGATGCTCACAGGTTCACACTTCAAAGACACCCTCTTAAAAGGTAGAGCAGCCTAAATGTGGATTCTACGAAAGGAACTGTCCCCCAGGTGAGTTGCCTCAGCCCATAAGACAAGGGCAGGAGGGATGTTGGGGGTACTACCTGGCCTCAGTTTACCTATGGCTTCCAGGCTACTCTTGGAAACACAGGATGTAGACACAGCCAGGTCAGTTTGGAGTCCTTACATGGCCAGCCTCCCCAGAATCCTTTGCCCTGGACACACGACGGAGAGCTCACAGATATGGTTGCCGTACGAAAGCACCAGAGAGATGGAATAGACTCCACAAACTGCATCTCACAGGCCCGAGTCCCCCCCAGGCATGCGTCGGAACCCGAATTGCCCGTGTTCTCATCTCTCGAGGCCTCCGGGGCTTTGAGGCCTGCTACCACTGCCTCAGACAGGGAAATGCAGGATGAGCTACATTTGGTGGAAACTCGTGTAATCAGAGAGGACATGTGGTGTGTGTGTGTGTGCGTGTGTGTGTGTGTGTGTGTGTGTGTTGGGTGGGTGAGGGGAAGGCAAGTCTCAGGAAAGGGAAGTCAAGAGCAGTGTTGATCCCTTACCCAGTTTCCATGGAATATATGATACCCAGAGGAAGAAGACAAAGTTAAGTACTGCCAGCCACAGAGGAGAAAACCCTGGTGTCTGGTCAAGGGCAGGCAGAACAGTGAGTGGGCGTGCGCACACGCACACACGCACACACACACACACACACACACACACACACACACACACCCCTGTGGACACTCACCCCATAGGAATCAGGCAGTCCCTGGCCTTCTCGTTCTCCAGCAGGCGTGAAGAAATGTTCCCAGGGTTCCCTCTCTCGGACAGGGACATGGACTCCACCCTGAGGAGACGGAGTGGGTCTTAGCCCTAGTAGGAAGCCCCAGGGAGGGCCAGCTGAATGGCAATTTCTGGGCGGATTTCAGGCAGTTCGGGGAGTGTGGTAAGCTGTCTAGGAAGCCCGAGGAAAGCAGATGATAGCCCATGAGGCAGGTGGAGCTTACAGAGCAGCTGAGCCTCTCTCCCTCAAGCCTAGTCACTGCTTTAGACCCACTCCCAGGGCCACGGCCAGTGAGGCAGGAAACTGGCAGCCCCCAGGGTTCCCGCCTGGTACCCACCCCCACCCCTTAGCTCAAGGCATATGCCCCGAGTTAGGTCAAGCTCTCTGTAGCTTCCAAGTCAAAGGGGGAAGGGGGGGAATTCCTTAGGTTAGTGCCAATCAAAGGGAGACCTGGCTGGAGTAGACAGGGAGGATGGACAGGGATTAGGTGTACAGGGCTCAGAAAAGGGGTGAGGGGATGAAGCTTCACAATGATAGCAGATGGCCTTAGCTGAGTGTTTGTCCTTCCCTGGTCATTAGCTCAAACTCTTCCCAAACAGTGACACCACATGACACAGACCCCACGGGGTTAGCTGGTCCTCTGGCAACCTCCCAGAGCCGAATCGGTGTCCCCTCGTAAAGATGACAACAGCAAGGTCTGAGTGGGTTGGGATTTGCCCACAGCTGTCCAATCTGGGCCATAACCAGGCAGTCTGGCCCCAAAGATAACCCTCAACTAGGAGGTCCTGGACAAGCTGCCCTCTCAAAGGCTAGAGGATAACCCTCAGCTAGGAGGCCCGGGACAAGCTGCCCTCTCAAAGGCTAGGGGATGGTCAGGACCACCCACTTTGTCTCCACTGCTAGGGTCCTCGAACTGACTGGGACTAGAATCCCAGTCTTTCCCTCAACTCACCAAATCTTCTGTCCTCATTATGACAAACATAAAGGACAGCAAAAGGCAGGCTGGCTGTGACCCTTGCCCACCATGGTCTCTGTGGACTTTGGCTGTTATCCTACTGACACCCAGGTTAGGATGACCAAGTGAAGGGCAGCTAAGACCTGACCATTGGCCAGCTATGCTTCCTAACAAAAAACACTGCACAGAGAATAGGAAAGGCTGCTGGCCCAGGCCATGCCAAGGCGTCCCCTAGATGTCTTTCCAGCTTCAGACACCCCCAGTCTAGGCCCTAGACGCTGCCCTCCCTTGGAACCACTTCCAAGTTAATTTCCACGGGCAGAAGTAAAACTGTAGTCTAGGTGGTGACAGAGAACAGATAGCCAACAATCTGCCCCTCAGCACCCAGTTGTAGCCCGAGTGCCAGGTTGGTGACAAGAGAATGGGTAGAAGAGAAAAGCAGTCATACAATAAAAGCTGTGCTTGGCTCTAGGCTGGCTTCTAACCTAAGATCCTCTTGTCCGTCTCCTTCTAGCCAGGATGGACAGGATGAGCCACTGTGCTCTGCTCTCTGGGTCTCTGGGTTCAGGGGACCAAAGCTGATATTCCTCTCTCAGCAGGCACGAAGAATACACTGAAGGCATTCTCAAGTGTAGCCCTCTCTCAGCGTGCTCGACCACGTTTTCAACTCTGGCGGATTCCCAGGCTACCTTAGACCAAGTCTCTCTATGGCTGGTGCTGAGACTGGGCCATTCCCGAGCAGCCCAGAGCTTGGGTCACTCCTGGGCACATTTCTGGGAGCCCAACCTAGCCAGCTGCCATGGTGGGCAGGAGAATCATGGCCCCTCAGAATCGAGGAGAGGAAAATTAGTTTGATTATTATATTGGTTAATAAGGTCCAGCAGGAAGACCATCTTACCCACAGGCCATGCCAATGTCATAAGACCCATTTCTGATGCCACCTGCAACAAAAGCACTTCATAACCATCCTGACCGGAGTGGACCTGCCCTGAGCAGCACAGCCCGTTCCCTCCCTGCTCTCGGGGTACATTCGCCAAAGCCTCACAGAAGACCCAGGAGCACTCAGAAAGGCTTGGGGTCTGACAGTGGGTATTCCTCCACTCCTCTCTGCCTAGAGTCCCTGGGGTCAAGAACCAAGGTCAGAGCCAATAGTGATGGTGCACATTTTTAATCTTAGTACTCAGGCAGATGCAGGAGGATCTCCGAGTTCCGGGACAGCCTCACAGGGAAAACCTATTTCAAACACAACAAAACAAAAACCCCGGGCAAGCTCATGGGCCCCTGGCAGTCACAACTCACCAGCGATGTTGGCCACTGCCTGCAGCCCTGATGAACACTGTCTGTTGACGGTAGACAATGGGACAGTCTCTGGAATGCCACTGAAACAGAAGGGGAGATGGCAGTCAGCCTTGGACGTGTAGCCAGCCCTGAGCATGCCACAGCCTCATAGAAAACAGGCCCCATGAGGCTCCAGGGCTCCGTTACGGTGCATAGCAGTGTGCATGGAGGGATAACAGCTATCCGTGTCCCCACCAGGGTAGACATATGTAAAGGAGGGATCAACCACATGGCAAACCCAGTCACTATCGCCACTAGCAACCAGGGTCCCCAAGCACATATCCTGCTACCTTGTGATTCTAAACCCAGGCAGGGGACGCTTGTTTGGGCCACAGGCATTCTTCCTCGCCTGCTGACGACTTCACAAAGGAAAGCAGCCATTGCTTTTGCCCACACAGAGGCAGACCACCAGCCTTGGAGCAAGGTCTCACAGACAAGGCCTCCCACCATTTCTGCCACCTGGCCTCACTCACCAACACTCACACACCTGTGTGCCTGTGTGTGTTCTCTGATAATCTGCTCTTGCCCGGATGAAGAGTGCTTCCGGCATATTTGTACCAGGCACTCCTCGGGTTCCGGCACTCGGATCAGCTCTGGCAGCGACCTCGGCTGCCCCTCTGGGTAGATAACCCATCTTGGCCAACAGTACAAAAGCCTCATTTCTAGCACCTCCTTAGACGAGCTTGGGAAGTTACTTGAGAATCTTGCTGCTCCTGCTGTACAGTCGGGCTTGGAAACTCTCAGGCCAGGCTCTCACTGACAGCTTTTCAGGCTTGATACATTCTTAGTTTCAAATTACCCATTCATCAAATCCCTTCCCGCAAGGCACCACGTTTTCAACAAATAATTTGTACTGAGCACAAGGTACTGTGTTGAGGAGTTTAAGACACCAGCAGTACTGTGTCCCAGAGGATGTCCAACCAAAATGCAGAAAAAAAAAACTAATCCACTGTCAAAGATGCAAATTACAGGGCCAGATGGCAAAGCCATAGCACAGGGAGGCACACAGCAACCCACCGGACAAGAAGGCCACTCTTTTGACACTTGAGAGCCAGTCTCCAAAGATATTTGGGCAGGGGTTGGCTGCCCTGGGACAGAAGGGGACAGAATGGGCAGAGTGGTGCATACAGGAGGCAGACAGGGTAGATGAAGGAGGGACAGTCAAAGTGAGCAAGCAGGGAAGCGGTGAGAATGGAAAGTTACCAGAGGGATGGGAAGGCCTTCGACCCAGTCTAAGTCTGACCCTTCTAGTCTCTAGAGGGTCTGTTTCCTGCCCTACTCTCACACTGACCAGTGTGGCTTTTATGTCTCATCCACCTGAGGGAGGGTGATTTTCAATCTACACATGGAAGTAATTAACTACTGCTTCCCCAACTGGAAGATGGCCAGGGGGCTCCTCCTGGCTTCCCCTCCCCATTGCCATCCCCATCCTCAAGCTTCTGATCAGGGACTGCACCTGGACCCCTCAGGCAGCTCACGTAGGAATGGAAGCAAAGTTACAGACCAAGGTGGTTATGGGATTATTTACCTGACATGTGAAGACAGAGTCCACATGTCCAAAGGCTAAGCAACAAGTTGGCTTTGGGAAAAATCAGGTCACCTTTGCCCCAGTCTCAAAGCCCTGGGTGTCCTGGCTGTGGGCCAGGTAACACACCCCTCAAAGTAGGAGAAAAGTTGGGTCCAAGGATTCTGATTGATTTGATATCTAGTGTCCAACCTGATAACCTGTCACCTACAGACTGGTCAATGGTGCTAGAATCCCCCCACCCACCCACCAGAGGTAGAAGGATTACCTCAGAAATTGGCCGATGCGTGCCATGACGGCCCCAGCTCCTGGCTGAAGTACATTGCCTGTAGATAGAAACCGCACTCAGTACCAAGTTTTGCATCCTGACTTTCAGTTGTGAGTCCCAAAGAGGACAGCGTACAGATATTTCTTCAGGATCACTTCGGGATGTTCCCAGGCTCATGTGAAACTATAGAAGTTAAGAGTCTGGGGAATGGGAAGCCAGCTATCAACCGCCCATCACCCACCAGCCCAGCGTTGGAGGGCCACCAGCATGTTTGCCAGGGCATGCTCCTCCACATCAGCAAGGTGGGCGGGTGGCCTGGCAACAGGAGAGAGCCTCTAGGGTACGAGGCACAGTGCAATAATAATATGGTAGAATAATATCGTGAGTGCAAAGACTTGAGCTGAGGGAAGTAGGGCTGGAGGTGAGGGGAAGGAAGCGAGTCTGCAATGCCTAGCCTCCCCAAGTGTCCTCCCCCAAGCCCTGTGTCACCGTGGGAGGAGGAACAGGCTGGCATCCCGGGATAGAACCATGTCCTACACAATGTTGTTCTAATTCAGGGAAGAACAGGAGTTAGGGCAGGGCCTGATGAACCCTGTCTACACCTGTAGCCGGTCTGACAGACGGAATGTCGGTGTAGGTGGAAAACCGTGGCCTCCCACCTCCTGGAGTCTCCAGAAACATCTGGGCTTTAGAGTAGTGGTTCTCAACCTTTCGAAGGCTGCCACCCTTTAACACAGTTTCTCGTGTTGTGGTGACTCCCCACTGTTATTTTGCTACTACTTCATAACGGTAATTTTGCTACTGTTATGAAGTGTAATGTAAATATCTGTGTTTTCCGATGATTCTAGGAGGGGTCGCGACCCACAGGTTGAGAATCGATGCTTTAAAGTATCTACCACAGCGTATTCTGCTTTCCACTGCCGCTCAGCTGGCTGCTGCGCTTGGAGGTGGTGGGGCACAGGCCACCATCCCACTGGAATCAGTGGAATCTGTCAAGTGTTGCTCTGTGAAACCTGGGTTCACGGTGAGAAGGGGAGGCCCCTGAAGGGAGGACGAGGAGGACCCGGCGCAGGCCTGGCAGGTGAGCTCACCCACGGAGATGTCTCCCAGCTGCTCAGGTCTGAGGTTCACGTCCTGGAGAACCGCGGTCAACACGGCCGACAGAAGCTCGTCCGGGGTGGTGTCCTGCAGGGCGAAGCGCAGCGGCAGTGAGCCCCGCTCCCGCATGCCCACCGGGGACTCTGCGGGCACCGTAGCCCAGCGGGCAAGATCGCACTGGCCGCCTTCTGCGACCCTCGCCCATCGGAGGGGTCTCACCTTGAAGCCGCCGCGGCCCGAACGGCCGATGGGGGTGCGCCGTCCGTGCACCACCACCACGTCGGAGGCCGAAGCCTGCGGGAAGCCCGCGGAGCAGGGCGCGGCTTGCAGCGCGGAGCTCGACTCGGGCCGGCCGGCCAGGTGTCCTAGCACTACCTGCAGTCGATGCATCGCGGAGGTGGGTCACGAAGATTTGCCTGGATCTGGGTGCAGAGCTCGGAGAATAAAAGAGATCGCCGGCGCAGGCGCAGGACAGCCTCTACCTAGTGAGGCCTAAAAGTTGAACACAACCCTGGTAGAATAATATCGCGAGTGATGGGGTGGGGCTCCCAGGGGGCCCGCCCACTCCTAGACACAACCAGTTAGACTAAGGGGCGTCTGCTTGAGGGCACGGCCCAGCTACCCATCCCTCCCCGGAGCCCCGCCCAAGCCTCGTCCGGAGCTGCTCTTTCCACTAAAAGCCCCGCCCACCAATCCTAAGGAGGCCAATCAGAATGTTACCCTTAAGCCTCTCCCAGAAACGCGAACTGGAAACTTAAGTTTGCGCAACCTTTTGCACACGGAAAGGAGGTACCCCAAACTTTTGGTTTCCTAAGATGAACGCAGCCTCAAGGGAGCCCCTCCTCCAAAGCACTGAGCTCAGCGCGCAGCAGCCCGAAAGGCGGGAAGGCGGAGCCCGGCACACGGCTTCTCCATTTGCTGGGCGAGCTAGAAAAAACACTGAGTCTCCCATCAAAATTTGCTCTGTTCTGTCCGGCGTCCCAAAACCCAGAACGGAGGACTTAGTTAACGTTGCAGCGCCTAGTTCGGCCCCGACGGGGTTGGACTGTCACAGATGCTTGCTCAAAAAACAAAGCAATTTTTGTTTCCTGGTTGGTATGGAGAACCGATTTTACAAATATGAGGAAAAGCAGGCAGGTTCTAACTGTAGAGTGTTCCACACATCTTCAGCTTAGTTTGCATCTGCTTGGGATGATGTCATTAGTGTCCTCGTTCCCCTAGGAATTCTACTAAGACGGGGTGGGGTGGTGGTGGAGTGGAGACCCTGAGTTGGACATTGACACCTAAATAGATTAACTAAGTGAATTAGCAAAAACAAGTTTTCCTAGGTCTAGACTGTACCTTCAGCATTAAAGAGTAAGTTGGCAGGTCCTCGTGGTTTTTTGCAGACCCCTGGAGGGTAGAACTGGATTTGCCTCATACCAAAAGACAGGATGCCCTAAATGCCAACTCGCGGGTAGGGTTGTGGTCTACCCCTTTAAAAGGCATTCACCGCTTGCACCAGATGGCTGAGGGCAAATCGAGGCTTCACTTTGCCACTTCCGAAGTCACGTCTGTCTCTTCCCTTCCCATTACCAGAATACAGGTTACTGTACATAAGGACTGTAACTCCTTCATGTCCTAAACAAGACGGATTCATCTCACTATGTGTTGCACCACTACCAGATCGACCAGGACAGGTCTGTAGGGCACGAGACCGACGCCAGAGACCTTTTCCCAGGTTCTCACACCATCAAAGGGGAGACGAGCAAAGGTTAGAAACACGAGTTGGGTGGAGCTCAGGCCCCGTGTTTAGGTTCATGCGCGCGCGCGCACCGCCCCCCCCTCCCGCGAAACACACGCACACTCCGAGGGTCTGAGGGCAGTGGCGGGGAACCGCAACTGCGCTCTTGGGCCAGGGACTCCAGATTCTAGCAAAGGGCGGAGCTTCTCGGAAAGTGAGGGAAGGCGGGGCTGGCAGGAACCCTAGGGGAAGTAGGAAGCTCGGCTGGCGAGCGGACCGGACCTCACCGAAGCTCAGGCTGGCTCGCCATGTCCGCAGGAGGCCCTCGAGTGGGATCCGTGTCCCTGGACTTCTCCAAGTTCTCCCTACCCTTGGCCGCGCTCAACGTGGGAGTGCGGCGCCGTCTCTCGCTATTCTTAAACGTCCGGATGCCGGTGGCGGCCGACTGGACCTTGCTGGCGGAGGAGATGGGCTTCGAGTACTTGGAGATCCGACAACTGGAGACGCGCCCTGACCCCACGGGCAGTTTGTTGGATGCCTGGCAGGGGCGCTCTGGCGCGACGGTCGGCAGGCTGTTAGAGATGCTAGCCATGCTGGACCGTGAGGATATACTGCGGGAGCTGTTGCCCCACATCGGTGAGGACGCGTGCTTTCTGGCTTTGCGCCAATAGTCGAGGAGGCTGGTCTTGGCATATCAATCTTGTTTCATTTTTCTGGGGTGTGCTGGGCAGGGAAGGAGAGATGGTCGAATTTTCTGTCAATATGTAGGACAGCACAGGGATTGGGAGAGGGTTCAAAAGCCCTAGTTAGGGAAAGGTGTGGAATGAGTCTCGGCCAGGAATCAAGATCTGCTTCCCTGGGAGTATCCCAGTAGTATCAGGAGCAACAGGTGAAGGACTAAAGCCCTTTCTGTCTCTCATGGACACTCAACACAATGCCCCTGCCCACAGGTACCTTGCTAGATGGGGGGTCACCACCCTCACTGAGTACTTACCAGATAACTGAGCCCTTCGGGGTTCAAGCCCCCTCCCCCCCACTGCCCTGCACCCTGCACGATGTCAGATTTGGAGCCGTTCTCAAGAGCCTTAGAAACGGGATGCGTGCGGGATGATGCGTGAGAGGCAGGTGCCAGCTGTACTTTGTTGGCCTCCCAGATGCCCAGTTTGGGAGAGTCAGACAGGAGGGCCTGTTTGTCAGATCTGTCCATGGCTCCAGTGACTACTAGAGAAGGTCCAGAGCCTGTGGAACAAAGAGACCAGTGGAACACAGACAGGGTGTAGGTGCTGAGTGTGTACAGCAGCCTGGGCAACTGGGGAGCCTTCTACACCCCATCTCTTCTCCACAGAGAATGACTGCAAGAAATACATAACGAAGCAGCAGATGCAGGAGTCTGAGAAGCCCTTACAGGTGGCCAGAGTGGAAAGCAGTGTCCCACAAACAAAGGAGCTGGAGGGCATCACCACTCTCGACGACCCGCTTGGTGAGGGCCCAGTGCTGTTCCCCTGGGTAGGCTAGGTGGGCACAGCCCCGGGATGCGTACAGAGCATGGATATTGCAATACAGACGGGCGGACCTAGGACCTTGAGCAAATCCCTCCTTCTTTCTGAGTCTTGGTTTCCCCATTCAAGAAATGGGTATAAAAGCAGCCCTATCTCTGAGTGCTTCTGAGACCGTAATGGCTTGCCTCCTTCACAGTTAACCCAGCTTTCATCTGGGAGGGAGTTATCTTTTCACTGGTGGGAAGGGCATACGTAAGACATCACTTCGGGATGGGTGCAGGCCCCGGTTCCCTTGATGGATGACTTCAGGTTGGGCTCCATCCAGCCTTCCTGCAGACAGCTGACCATTACCCTTGTCCCCTGTCCTCAGGACAAACACCAGAGCTTTTCGATGCCTTCATCTGCTACTGCCCCAGTGATATTGAGTTTGTGCAGGAGATGATCAGGCAGCTAGAACAGACAGACTATCGGCTGAAGCTGTGTGTGTCCGACCGTGATGTCCTGCCAGGCACCTGTGTCTGGTCCATTGCCAGTGAACTCATTGAGAAAAGGTTGGTGAGACATCCCAGTGGGCAGGTGGGTGAGGTCCAGAGGTCCAGAGGCTAGGACTCCCCTGCCATCTGGACTCTATACTGGGTAGCCTGGGTACTGTGGTCCTCGCAGAGGCTAGCTTCTGGGGGTAAGCTGAAGGAAGTCATCGCGATGCCTGCATTCTGCCGCTCTCCCTTAGGTGTCGCCGGATGGTGGTCGTTGTTTCTGATGATTACTTACAGAGCAAGGAGTGTGATTTCCAGACCAAGTTTGCTCTCAGCCTCTCTCCAGGTAAATTTAAGCCTGCTTTGGTCAGAGAGGGGAGGGGAGGTATAGCCTTAAGATTCCAGACCAAGAATGCAGGACCAAAGCATGCCAGATCTCTGAGTGAGTGTACCTGCACGTTCTTTATGTCATGGATGTGTACTATGGGTACCTAGCTGGTGGGGCACTGGTGTTATCCCTTGCTTTGGAGACAGGGTCTGCCTCACCACAGGGCAGGGGCCTAGTCCCAATACCACACCGTTTGGCCTCCAGGTGTCCAACAGAAGCGGCTGATTCCCATCAAATACAAGGCGATGAAGAAGGACTTCCCCAGTATCCTGCGGTTCATCACTATCTGTGACTATACCAACCCTTGTACCAAGTCCTGGTTCTGGACCCGCCTTGCCAAGGCTTTGTCTCTGCCCTGAAGATGGCCCCCGGAGCTCTAGGTCTGTCAGCCTGCCCTTGCCTCCTCTGACCCTGTAGGAGGGAATTTATGGTCCACTCATCCCTAGAGGTTCTAGCTGAACTTCCACAGCAACCAAACCCCATCTGGACACCCTCCCTCAAGTCCTGAATGGAATGAGTGACTGAAAGTGACTTTATTGCTTGCTGGGTTGTCAGCCAGCGCAGTGATGACCAGGGTCAGTTGAGTCTATGTAGAGGACCAGCTAAGTTACGTCTGAGCCATCTTTGGCCTCAGTTTCTCCACCCGAGGGACAGAGTATGGAGAGCCAACAGGAACATGGGAAGACACTGTTCTGGCTGAAGGAGAGCTGGTTATTATGGGACCACAGTCATGCCAGGACGACTTCCTCCTGTCCGCCTCACTTTCCTGTCCCTCCGTTTACAGGGCAATGCGAAGGTGAGCTGACTTTGACCCGGATTCTCTGAAACTGTCCTATCTGCATCTTTAACCCCCTCAGACTCAGCCCCACATTTGGTGGTCACTGGTCTGGGTAACTGGGATTGCTTTTCCCTCCCATGTAGCCATCCCTGTGCACGTGTTCCAGTTTTGCCTTGCTTGAAGAGGATCCTGTCCTCTGACATGACTATCACTTATAGTGGCCCCAGCAGGGCCACCAGGATGATGTCATCAGGGAATATTCCTCTCTGGCCCACCAACACAGAGACTTTCTACCAACTTTCTGCACCCCGATTACCTACTTGGTTAACAAGCAGCAAACACACACGAAAAACGTCCTTTCCCCAGTGCTTGGAGTCTTGTTCATGCAGATATATGTAGCATGTTTCCTTACATACACAGGCATCTGCCTACATGTGTTTACTTTGGGACAGCTCCCAAGAGTGGCTGAGTGGAAGAGTTCTACCATCAAGGAGGCCTGGCCATTTCCCTGGACAAAAATGGGGTGTCTTTACTACAGGTGGTAGCAACATGCCTACAATTCCAGCATTTGTGAGGTAGGGGCAGGAGAATCAGGAGTTCAAGACTTTCCTTGGCTACACACCAAGTTTAAAGGCCAGCCTGGACTACATGGCAGCCTCTCTCTCTCTTTCTCTCTCTCTCTCTCTCTCTCTCTCTCTCTCTCTCTCACACACACACACACACACACACACACACACACTGCCAAAAAAAAGAAGAAGAAAAAGATGGGACACTGTTAATTTCTTCTCTTTTCTCTAATCATTGAAAGCAAAGTCTAGAAAGGCCCCAAATGTGAGTCAAGCCTGTGTGCCTTCAGCAAAATGAAGTTGAAAAAGGAGAAGCTGCCTCACACCACAGCTCGGCTGCTTCCTCCCTAGCAAGATGGTTCCCACATTCCTCTCAAGCTCTCGGCCATGGAGGCAATGTCCCTAGTCTCTGTGCTCAGGGCATACCCCAGGGTCCCGAAACCAACAGAAAATGGGTCTCAGTGTCTGGGGCTGGAACGGAGGCCCCTTTGCATGACCTCACGAAGCACTTCTGTGCTTGATATTGGGCATTTTAGAGCAATTTGGGCAAAATATCTTCTATACCTGTTATATAGGTTTTATGAGAACTTCAGTGAGATAGGTGGGATCAAGGCTCATGTTTGCCATTTGTACTTCTGTATTTGAAATTTGTGATAAAATTTATTCTATTTTAGAAAGCATACTTGTGAATGTGTGTGTGTGTGTGTGTGTGTGTGTGTGTGTTAAGGAGTTTGGAAGCAGACAGCTAGGCTATGACTTTCTCATGTAAGAGAAGTCGCCCTGTAATGTGGTTTTTCCTGGGGCTTCCAGACGACTGAACCCTGGCCTCATAGGCTCAGGCTTCAGCAGGGACCAGGGGGAGACAAGGGTATCCATCTGCTCCAGAAACCAGCTTTCTCCCACCAGCCTGAGTCTTTCCTAGGCTATACCAGGTTCTAGGTCCTGGCCCTGTTGGTTGTATGTAGTGCCAGGGATTGAACCCAACATCCATGTTAAGCAGATTTTCTGTCACCTAAGCTGTATTCTCCAAACACTGTCTAGATCTTGATTATGGTGTTACACATATCCATGTAAATAGATGGCTAAGCGCTATACACACAATATTGATGTCACATTTGAGGGCTTAAGATTGCCCTACCGTGGGGGCTGGAGAGATGGCTCAGCGGTTAAGAGCATTGCCTGTTCTTCCAAAGGTCCTGAGTTCAATTCCCAGCAACCACATGGTGGCTCACAACCATCTGTAATGAGGTCTGGTGCCCTCTTCTGGCCTTCAGGCATACACACAGAAAGAATATTGTATACATAATAAATAAATAAATGAATAAATATTTAAAAAAAAAAAAAGATTGCCCTACCGTTAGATCCCTTGCTGAACTGGGTTATATGTCCCATGGTGCTCTGGGGAGACCTTGTGAAGAAGGTAAAAACTCCGATTACCTTTCCAACCTCCTAAAGATCTGTAATTATCTCAAGACAGAAAGTTTTAGAGTGGGCTGGAGAAATGGCTCAGAGGTTAAGAGCATTGGCTGCTATTCCAGAGGTTCTGAGTTCAATTCCCACATGGTGGCTCACAATCATCTGTAATGAGATTTCGTGCCCTCTTTGGGCCTGCAGGTAGAGCACTGTATACATAATAAATAAATGAATCTTTTAAAAAATAAAGTTTTAGAGCAAGTTGAGATGGTGTGCCCAGAGTCTCAGCTATTTGTGAGACCGAGGCAGGGGGTCTCCTTGAGTCCCATGGTTTAGGAAACATAACGAGATTTTGCCAAAAAAGGTTTTAAAAATTAACTTTTGTTTTTCAAGTCAGGGTTTCCCTTTGTAGCCCTGACTGTCCTAAACTTGCTAAGTAGAGCAGACTGGATTCTATCCGCCTGCCTCTGCCTCTGCCTCTGCCTCTTGAGTGCTAAAATTAAAGGCATACACCACCATGCCCAGTTCCCAAAACTTGATTTTCAGAGGAGCTGCTTGTTTTGTAGGACCAGGCCAAGGCAGAATATGAAAAGTCAGTCATGCTCTGTTCTTAAGGAAATTAGACCCCAGTAGCGGAATCAAGATGCAAATGCGGGGAAGTCAGACCGCTGGGGAACCAGCACCAGACGTAGAGCTCTGGGCGGCCTGGATGCTGGCTGGACCAAAGGCGGCAGATCCCACATAGCCGGCGTATCCTGAAGACAGGACACTCAGAGATGTGTGGAGGGGACAGGGAAAACCCTACGACGGGAGAAGAGTAAGAGAGAGATCTGAGCGGCTGGTGCAAGTGAGAGGCGCATATAGGATGGAGAATGGAAAGGTCAGATAAGACCTTCGGGGCTCAGCAGAGACTGGGGCCAAGGGTCTCAGACTGCGGCAGGGCCGCGGCTTAGGTCTGGCCAGGAAGGAGCGCTAGACTGAAGTGTTGGGAGGAGCAGGGTAGGGACTGCTGTAATGTGGATCTGTCGAGGGAGAAGCCGGGCTGCAATGTCTGTCTTAGGAATCTGCTTGCAGGAGATGAGAAAGGAAGTGGTGAGCTGGCAAGAAGTGACTGTGTGGTCTTCACACTTCCTCTTTCTCGGATCGAACCCCGCTGGGCTTACTCTGGTGTAGTCTATGCTACAGCGCGTCTCAACATTTCAAGGGCTCAATTGCTACATGAGGTTGCTACACGAGGCTGATTGCCACGAGACCGACCTACTCCGGAGCCTGGCTACTGCAGGTCACGGTTCCTGAGCCAGTAGCATCAACATCACCTCTCCTGTTAGCTACAAGGCCTCTCTCTTTGACGGGGGCAGTACTGGAAATAGAATATACAGAATTCCAGCGCTTTTTTATTTTTATTTTTTGTTTCTATTTTATGTGTAGTCGTAGTTTGTCTGCATGTATGTGTGCCACATGCATATCTGATGCTCACAGAGGCCAGAAGAGGATGTTGGATCCCCTGGAACTGGAGTTATAGTTGTGAGCCACCACGTGGTTGTTGGGAACTGAACTTGGTCCTCTCCAAGTGCAACAAGTGCTCTTAACCACTGAGCCGACTTTCCAGGCCAGAATCCCAGCACCCGAGAGTACTCAGATGTATACCTAGAGTGGTAGAGCTGTGACATTTGGGAGCTCGGCTCTAGGTTTTCTTTTTTCTTTCTTTCATTTTTTTTTGACTCTTCATACAAATTTGACTGCACTGGTGTATACGCTCACTAGCGATAAATAAGGGTTCTCTTTCCCCATGGAAAATTTTGGTATGTCTGTGTACCATATACATGCATTTCTCCTGGAGGTGAGAAGAGGAGAGAAGGTGAGAAGGGCATGAGATTTCCTGGAGCTAGAGTTACATACAGGTGAACCACCATGTGGGTGCTGGAAATTGAGTGCCTGAGCCCTCTGGAAGAGCAGCCTGTGTGTGCTCTTAACTGCTGAACTCCAGCCCCTGATTCTCTCTCTCTCTCTCTCTCTCTCTCTCTCTCTCTCTCTCTCTCTCTTTCTCTTTCTCTGTTTGTTGAGACAGGGTTTCTCTGTGTAACTTTGGAGCCTGTCCTAGAACTAGCTCTGTAGACCAGGTTCTCAAACTCACAGAGATTCGCCTGCCTCTGCCTCCTGAGTGCTGGGATTAAAGGCGTGCGCCACCACCACCCAAGGGATTTTCTCTTTTTATTCAATGCAGAGCCCGAAACTATGGAATGGTGCTGTCCATACTCAGGGTAGGCCTTCAAACTTCTGTTAAACTTCTCTGGAAACACCTTCACAGACATATCCGAAGGGTTTTTTTCTAGGTGAGTCTAAGTCACCAAGGTGCCTCTCACGATTAACCATCACAGCTGCTGAAGATCAGGGCTTGATGGGTTAGTTCTAGCGTGGGACACGAGAGATGTTAGGTCTTTTGATTTTACTTTAGTGTGTGTATGTATGTGTGATGGTTTGAATGAGAATGACCCCCACAGGCTCATATATTTAAATGCTTGGTCCCTAGCTGGTGCATTAGGGAAGGATTAGGGCATAAGGTCTTGTTGGAGGAGGTGTGTCACAGGGAGCAGACTTTGAGATTCCAAAAGCCCATACCATTCCCAGTGCTCTATCTACCTCATGCTTGCAAATAAGGATGCAATCTCTCAGCTACTGCTCCAGCCCCATGCCTGCCTGCCCTCTGCCATGCTTGCTGCCATGGTGGTCATGGGCTTATCCTGCGCAACTGTAAACAAGCCCTCAATAAACACTTTCTCCTCTAAGTCACTTTGGTTATGGTGTTTCTTCACAGCAATAGAAAGATAACTAAGACAAGTTGTGTTTGTGTGCTCGTGTATGCACACAGTTGCGCACAGGAACATGTGCATGTGGAGGTCAGAGGTCAATGTCAGGTGTCATTTTCAATAGGACACCATCTTATTCTCAGCGGACCTGGAGCTCACTAATCTGTCTAGAATGACTGGCCAGCAAGCCCTGGGATTTCTTTTCATCTTACAAAAAAAATGGCAGGGGGTTGGGAGGTGGTTCAACAGTACCCACATGGTGGCTCATGACTATCTGCAATTCCAACTCCAGGGGATCCAATACTCAATTCTGACCTTTGTGGGTACCTGACACACACGTGGTGCACAAAAATACCATGCTGTGAAAACACTCTCACACACACAAAATAAAAAATAATTTAAAATTTACTTAAAAAGAAACAGAAAACCAGTGATTTTGTCTGTCTTTGTTTCTTGACTGTGGACATAATATTACCAACTTCTTCTCCACCATGAAAGACTGCACCCTCAACGCCTTCCTGCTGGGGGATGTAGCTCAGTGGCAGAGTGCTTGACTGACCGGTATGCATGAGGTCCTATGTTCCTTCTCCGATATCAGTATGGGGCTGATAGAGAGGGGATTTCCTCTTTCAGGTTGCCTTTTTTTCAGGGTTTTTATCACAGTACGCTTCTCTGTGGTTCAAGGTTAAGAAGTTCTGACCCATACATCAGAGGCAACACTCTTTCTTCCTTGGGCTGTGTGCTGTGATTTCCCTCAACATTAGCTCCAGCCTTCTGAGTACATGACTTGGCCAAGTCAAATGCTGCTGTAACAAGAGTCAAGGAAGCCTTTGGGAGCTCCTAGTGTGCAGAGTGACAGAGGCGGAGTTCTGGGGCCATGTTGGAGCGTGGACAAGCTGATGGTAGCACACGGGAGTCCTGCAGCAAGTCTCTCTGCTAGAGTTTTCAGACCTGTAAGCCAGCAAATGCTCTGCTTGTTTAAACTAGTCTAGGTTGTGTGCAAATCTTCTTGCATTTTCTGTTTATCTTCCCCGGGTCCTCCACCAGGCTCTGTGTCTAGATAGACCGACCTTGGAGAACTGCTTCGGGCAGCTCCCCTGGTTCTCTGGTTTGCTGATGGTCAGCACTGACAGATATGAAAGTCAGAGGAGAATGTGGGGTATTTACGTAACTTGTGGCTTGCCTACCTGGGGGCTACTGATGACTGTTTTTATCTATTTCTGGTGGTCCTCATTCTATGATCACTTGGGGTTTATCCAAAGTAGCTGGTTTGGAGGGACCACACTAGTACCTTGGTCTTCCCTTCATTCTGCCTATGCCTTGGCAAACAGCTCCCTTGCCAAACTATTCTCAAGTTGTCCACTTTGACGCTTATATCAGGCTATTTCTTTTAGGCCACCAACAAGCTCCTAAATCATGACACAGAGACTTATTATTAGTGATGAGTGCTTGCCCTTAGC